TTTTTTTATGTGTGCATGTTTTGTATAATTATATATTTGTATGCTTCAAAATGATGAAGAACGGTATGGAGAAAATAAGTTTTAAAGATAATTTTGAGCTTTTAAGATTGAATTTTAAATGACTTAAATTAATTGATAATAAAAAAAAATAAGTTTAAAGATGATAATATGGTATGATATTGGTAAAGTAAGTTTCATTACTATTAAAAATGGTTGGCAGCTATTACCAAAAAATCATCAATTGGTATGAAAGTGGTAATTCTTTTTCATTACCACTTAAAATGGTTACCATCATTTGAGTGTGGTACGATTATCAAACCATACCATGCCCAGCCCTATACGTGACTGTGTGCCAAGTCTATCCCTTGTCTCCTCTTCTCTTGTGAAGTCTCTCTCCTTCTGTTTCCTTGTTGATTCTTTTCCTTTTGTTTGAATTGCAGTTGCAATTCCTTGTCTTTCTTTTGTTTTTCTAAGGTTCCATTGAAATCCACTTTGTCCCGAAATATTATTTAACCATACAAAAGTAAAAAAAAAAACAATTTTTAAGAATTGGTCTCTTAATTAGTGAAATAATAATATTTATAAGAAAATATAATGAAAGAAGATTGTTGTACTATGAAGCTGTTTGCTATGCCCCGAGTTGGTTAGTGATCCGGGGGTGGGTGAGGAACTAACTGCAATGGTCTGCCAAACTGAGTTAATTTTGATACCCTGATTGGAAGAATCAGGAATTTTCTGGGCGTCAGTTTCCTTGTGTTTGGGCTCGGATTTGCCTTAGCTTTTGCAGTACCTTGCACTTTGGGTAATCCCTTACCCACACAGTGGGTTTTTAGTTCGAACCTGTTGGATTCATTTTGAATAGGGCGGGGGTAATAATCGTTGTGGGTTGATTCTGAAGTGATGCTGCATTTAACGCACTTGTCGATTGACTGTTAGTCTGTTACCTTGACTCGACCTAGGGTTAATCGGGTTGGAATGGGTCTTCGGCCCAGCTTTACGGGTCGGGGCAACAGTGTCGCGAGTTACTCCTTTTTTCTGGCCGTTTGTGAGAGTACCCAATTCACGAACCCGAAAGAAAGCTCTCAAAGACTCAAACCGTTTGGAGATAGAGAAGCGAGAAACGTGTTTTCCTTTCCTCTCCCTGCTTTTGTCATATTTGTTCATTAAACAGCATTAAAAATAAATAAATAAATAAATAAATAAATAACCAGTGTTTTTAAAACCCCAGGAAAGATAAAGTCATAAAAATAAAAATAAATTTGTTAGATTGAGGCTGAGAGGAGAGGGAAAAAGTGAGTTAGCCATTTCTCTCTCTACCTTGTTTATGCTGCATGAATTCGAGGGAAAGTTTGCTGATAATTTTGTAGAATTTGGTAGGTGAAATCTGTGGCAGATATGGAGAAAGAGGAAACTGCAGCAGAGGAAGTTGTGAGCTTGGAGCTTCCTGCTCCTCCTGGTTGGAAGAAGCAGGTTCGTTTCTTTGCCTTTGCCTCTTTTCGAATTTTGCTGGGTACTTTGTTTTTTTATTGTTTAATTTATTGTTGAATTCTAGGTTGTGAGATTTGAATTCTGTTCGGTTCCCTTGTGTTTCTTAGGGTTCGCTTCGTTTCCTTGTCTTTCTCCTGGTAAAATTTCAGGATAGCGTTTATGATTTTTTTCATGGTTTTAGTGGATTATGAATTTCGATTTTTTTTGTGGGTTAAGTATGGTTGATAATTAATAATTGTTCCCCCAATTTTGAATTTTTCTGAATTTCTTAAAATCTTTGAAGTTTTCAATTTGCAGGGTTCTAGGTTTTGCTTTTCTAGTTTGTTTATTTTTTCGAACCTGGAAAAGTACCTCTATTAGGGTTTTTAGAAGGGGATTCCATACTTTTTCTTTTCTTTTCCTTTCTTATCTTTGTTGCCCCTTTTTGGTCCTTTGAGCAAGTAATGTAATTAAAGGATGTGAAGAAGTGAACCTTTTTATAACTTCCAATTAAATTTCTATTTGTTAATTGTCCATTTTCAGGGTAAAGTTTTCTTTTTTCGAAATGTGAATTTTAGGTGCATTTGAAGGTTTGAGTATGAAAGTCACTCCAGTCCTTTTAATATTTAAGATTTGTGTCTGCAGAGGAAAAACAAAATGATGGAAGAGCTTTGTATTTTCTAATTTATTCCATTCTCAACTCCAACTCCACTTGGACAAACTATGAAAAACTACATGGTTTTTTTCATTGATATTATTATTGGAGTTAGAGAATGCGCCTAAATGCATTTGAATAACTCCCGCTCTCCCTTTTCTTTGTATCTTGGGAGCGCTGGTATATATTCTTTGCAAATACTTTTCTGACTGCATGGTTGTGCATTAGTTAGGCAGAAGAAGATAATGTTTAAAAGGGTACATACTTTAATTATCCACATATTGCAGAAGATCTGATGGTATTGGTTGCAGATGAGATGACAAAAAATGTCAAATGTGTTCTAGAATCACTCCTCTCACCTCTGACCATTTTTCTCATCTTGTCAATCAGTCATTAGCTGCAAATGTTTGAGAATCATTGTGAAGTTGTTTGGTTTGGCAAAATGGCACATATCTGGTTAGGTAATTAGTAAATGAGTTGCATTTAAACGATTTCCTCCTTTTTTCCATCTATGATTAGGGTACAGTTTTAAATGAACCTCTTGTCTTGTGATAATTCAATTTTGATAAAATGAATATTAAAGAATTTATTAATCAGAGTTGCCAACAATGTCACAGAGATTTAGCCAAAAAAATAAAATAAAATTCAAAAAGACATATATTGTGAATAAAATTATGCTTGCAAGGAAATAAAGGCAAAAAAGTAGTAATATATTTTCTCTGGCATCTCATTTGATGGAAGAGGTGTTATTGGCATGGTTTTTTGTGATTATAGCATTTATTTTTCCAATTTATCATCAGTTATTGTGGTTAAGAAGCTATAGGTTCCATGCAGAATCTGTTAATAAATTTATCCGTTAGGTACAGTCATATCGTGACAAATGAAAAGGTAAGTGAAATTTCTACATCCTTCTGTAGACTTTGTTTATGCAATTTCTTTGTTTCTATTCACCAGTCTTTTGGGTGAAGAGAAATGAAAAGGTACTTTTGGATCTGTAAGCTCTTAATGAATGAATTAAGAGAAGCTTCTTTCTTACACCTTTTAAAGACCCACTTTGATACTTGAATCCATGCATTTAAGCTTTTTGCTTTATAAGGTATCTCTTTTCCACTGAACTCCAAAGAATCACATGCTGTACTTGATTGAACTGTTCTAAGAAATTCATTGGAAGCTTGAAAGTTATCAGAGTATGCTAGGGATTACTTTCAAAAGAAGATCATGTGATCTTGCTACTCCTTTACCCTTTCATTGCTTAAGCTCCTAATGCCTGTTCTTCATTAGCTATCATTCCTGCTTTTTGTTCTATCTTATTCCGATTTGTAGTACATTTGCCAATAATGTAATAGCTTGGCAATACTCTTCTTCCTCTGAAAGTTAAGAGGTTCTGAGTTTCAAGCCATGACAATGAAGTGGGTGGGAGAAAAAGGAAGTGAGTAACCTCCAGTTTTGTAATCTATCAACAGGAAGAACACATTAGTGCTAGTCTTAATTATTATAGGACTTTATTATTTGTTGTGTATTGGCTTGATCACATATGAATGCTACAGCATTGGAGTTATGGATTTTCAGTGATTTGTGACAGAGAGACAAAGAATTGGGAAGATTCCTTGTATACATTTAATCTTACACCTTGACTGTTATGCCCCTACTCCAAGTCAAGCAGTTAGTTCAATCAGCCTCACTTTTGAGTAGGTGAGTTTTTAGGACAAGTCTAGGGGGCATGATGGCTTGTGTATCGCATGGTTGGTTTTCACATATTACTATTTTGGACATAATTTCTGGATCGCTGCTTGGTTTAAAAATATTTGTTCTATATGCAATTTAGTGTCTCAATTACAAAGTATACAGACTGCTTGGATCTCCTTTTCAGTTGATTAGCTTCATGGTACTGTATAGAGTTGTTGTTAAGAGTAGTTGATTGAGGGTAGAGTAGTCACAAGTTATTTTCTATTATACTGAGGTTCATAAGCAGAGGACCTTCTAAATTATGTTATGTGATCTCAAATTGAATTGCAGTAAGATGCATAAATTTTGTCTATGATTCTAGTTCAGGTTTCTCCTGGGCATTTTTCAAGGACATAATGTACAATTTCCAAACTTGAATTTCTTAATTTTGAATTTCATCTATCAACCTTCCTCATCAGTTGAATGCCTCAAGATAACCTTCAGTTTGTTTTATCCGCAGTTCTTGCCCAAAAAGGCTGGGACCCCCAAGAAAAGTGAGATTGTTTTTACTGCTCCAACAGGAGAGGAAATCACCAACCGAAAGCAGTTGGATCAGTACCTGAAAGCACACCCTGGGGGTCCAGCAGCTGCAGAATTTGATTGGGGCACCGGTGAGACCCCAAGGAGATCTGCAAGGATCAGTGAGAAGGCAAAGGCTATGCTACCTCCTGAAAGTGAACCTACTCCGAAGAAAAAACGAAGCAGAAAATCATCAGCATCAAAGGACAATAAAGAAACAGAAATTGTCCCTGAAAAAACTGAGGAGACAAAAGATGTTAATATGGATGAGGCTGTAAAGACCAACAAGGATAATACGGAGCTAGAGGCAGGCAAGGATGTTGTCAAGGAAAATGAAGATGTAATTGAAGACAAAGCGCAAAATGCAGGTACTAAAACTGATGCCATTCATCCAGAAGGAACAAAAGTTGGAGATGTTAATAAGCCTAATAATGTTGAAGAGAACAAGACAAGTGCTGATGCGGAATCTGAAAAACCCAAAGGTCTTGACGGTGCAACAGTTGAAGAAAAGGTTGAGCAATCGGAGGTAGAGGTGCCGAAGGAGCTTTTGTCTGGGGAAAGAAAGCATGGTCTCGAAGGAGAGGAAAAGGAGAAACAAAATAAGAGTGCTCCTGAACCTGAAGGTGAAATCAAGGAGAATGAAACCACAGCTGGCAATAAAGATGGACAAAAAACTTCAGGTCTCAATGAGACTAGGAAGGTGGTGGATGAAGTAACTGAGAATGGCAACACAGCTGGCAAGGCCAATCCTTGAGTATCATATGAAATTAAGACAGATTAACTTGATGCCAGCTTCATTTACGGGGGACCCTATTTCATTTCGGGCCCTCCATAAACAACTGTAGCTTTAATGTTGTTGATGTTAGTTACTGATTGTTCATTGAGACAGCCTTCTATATAGTCGTCGATAGGTGTATAATGTAGTACTTATGTTGTACTCAAGGAACTCGTAGCTTGCAGGTCGTCTGTAACATCATGGTGTTGATTTGTACTAATGTGATGTAATGTCTAGTGTCATGTAATAATAAGTTGCAGGGATTCAAAATGACTTGTAATTATTGGATAACCTTTACTTTAGGGCGCGGTTATTATTTTCTTTCATTTTTTACAGACAATACTGAAATTACTAACCATAAAGGAGATTAATAAGAGTTTAGTTGAATTGACATTTGTTAATTTAAAATTTTTAATTTAAAATTAAAATTAAAAATTTAAATTAAAATTTAAATTTTTGTAATATTAAGTAGTTAATTTTTCAACCGTAATAAAAAAAAAAAATAAAGATACTGTATAATAAGCCACAGAAGGTTCAATAATGTACAAGATCCCAGATGAGGTTTTTCGATGATATGGGTGGCTCGTTAGATATGTTGGTTTCAGTCGACAGCGCCTTGACGAGTTGGTCTATGCTGTGAGTGTAGGTTCTTTTTCTTTTTCTTTTTCTTTTTTTTTATCCTATATCAAAAATATAAATTATTAATCAAAATTACTAAACATATAAATCAAATAATTAAAATTAATTATTTATAATAATTTATATTTTTAAATACTGTACTACAAGAAAAGTCTTAATTTGATTAGTTTCACCTACCTGCAAACCCCAAAAGGATTATTTACCAAAAAAAAAAAAAAAAAAAAACCCCAAAGGATTTTGGTTTAGTACTTTAATGGTTTGCTACATCTATCTAGCTGGGAAACCCCAGAGATGCTGAGGTTCATGAAATTTCCTTTTCTTAAAAAAATTCTAAAACTAAAGTGATCTTCTGGCAACTGCTGCATTGTCCATAGGAACTTCTGGCACTGTCCAATATGTTTATGATTTTCCCAGAAAATAGTCCAGTTTCTTGACATTTCCAGTGTTGTTGCCTAGGTGATTAGAAATTAAAATGCTCAATAAAACATGATTCGATGCGACTCCTATAAGATTTGGAAATAATCACATCAAAATTTCTACGTTATTATTGCTTTATGGTAGTCATAAACGAAGCTCAAACAACTTTGAGCAAGAAATACAACTCATATAAAGGCAAAATTTACACACTAGTTGAAATTGTGAGGTAAAATAAATAACTAAAGAGACTGATTAAATTTGTCAGAAGAGGATCAATGAAATCTTATTACATCTCTCTCAATGACTGGAAAAAGGAATGAGAAGAAACTTATGCATCTTCTTTTTCTTCAAAGCCCCTTGAGTTGTCCAACAAGCCCCGTCAATGTTGTCCACTTCTCAAATGCACTAGCCGATGCCACAAATGCACTTTTCGATGATTCAACATCATTTCTGGTAACTGCAGAGTAAGCAGGGAAAGAGGGCATAACTAGGAAAAACTTGAAGTACAAGTTAAACTATAACATAACCTGCCATTCACTGATTTAAGATTACAGTACTGCTAATCCAGGTGAAAGGCTGAAACTGTTGTTCTATGTCAGCTGGGCATCAGCAAGACAGCAACAATGCAGTTGACAAAATGCAAGGCACATACTCAAGATATAATTTTCATTTTACAGTAGGAATATTGAGATTACTGCATAAAATAACCCACCTGATGAGATCAAGGAAGCTATTGAAGAATTAAATGTATCCACTTCACTTTTCTCTTCAGGGCTAAAGCTCAGCTGTAAAGAGAGCACACAAAAACAATTCAGGAAGGCTTTCATAACACAAGAACTGCTGCAGTAGTATGATGAAAATGCTTTTCCTTAAGAAAATCCCTCATTCCAGAAATCAAGTACTAATCTGACGGTAAGAAAGAATGATAGAAAAGCGAAGGAATTAATACTAAATCAGTATGTCTTCCATGAATGAGTGTTTTAGAAGATTAAAATTGTTACTGCATCCTGAAGTATTTGCGTTCTCATTGATTCTGACCTTTGTGAAGGCTATGTTAGCTTTCTGTACCCAGTCTGTATCTGTGCTTCCACCAAGAACCATACTGGCTGCAGATAGATCATTATTGTCAATGGCTTGACCTACTTTGCTTAACTGGTATACAAGGTCTTGCAAATATCCTGCAATGCATCATTTCATCCAGAAGGTTAGAGCTGGTTACATAAGTATTAATGCTGCTTAACTTGAAAAGATAGCCAATTAGCCATGGCTTGTCATAGGTTATATCCCTTGAATTAAAGACAAAAGGCATACAAATCACAAGAAATGCATGAAGTATAAAATTGCATAAAATTACATCCCTATACATCCACCAATATTGAGTTGCATCCAAGCACAAGGTTAAAAAAGGAAGCTGATTGGTATCATGTGAGAAGTGAGATCCTTCAAGCCGCAACTTTTATCACATTGTTTCATTTTCAATTAGATACCAAAGTTCAATGCTAAGCTTGACATAGAAAACTCTAGGACAACAAAATTCCCCATGGAAGTCAGATCAAAGCATGGAAGGCATACATCCCATTTTTTAAATCCAATTCTAAAGTCAAAAGCACCATATTTTGATAGACTCCACTTCTATGAAGATTAATCATAAAAGGCAACAATCAAATGCATTCTGTTTACTGAGTGCTCAAGGAAAGGATGTATTTTACCTAATTTTAAAGAAAACATGGAACTAAACTGAGTATTGGATATCATAACCAACTGGGTCAATGGAAATTATGCACATTCAAGACTTTCTTTTGGAAATAAAATGCTGGATACCCATTTTACCGGTTTCTTTGTTGGATGAACTTATTACTCCTTGCCTTTCAAGCCTCTTCTTTCTATCTTTCTTCACCTTCTCCAAAAGTTCTTCATCATCATCAGCTTCTAGCACTGCTGCATTGGTATTGAAGAGACCTGTACCCCACAATGATAAAAAGAGTCCAGGTATGAAGCCAACAGAAAGGCCTCTCCTGGTGAAAAGTGGAGAAGTTGGATGTGACTCACTGCGTGCTTTGGAAAGAGTCTGTTGTCTCCTAGCATGTTGCTTCTGAGGGTAAACAGTTAGTAGGATTGACAATGAGGATGAAGAAGAGGTGGCAGATGAAGAGGGTAGGGTGGAGGAGATGAAGAGATTAACAGTAGAGAGGAATCCAGTTGCCATTCTTTAATTTTCTTTCTTTTTCTTTGGTTTTTGGTAATTTTGGTGGAAATAGCCAGTAGCATTGGCAAGTTGGAACTTTAAGAAGATAAGGTTGCTGGATTCTGCTTTCTGGTCCAGTCATCATTCGCCAAATGGAGGAGCTTTGTGTCATTTAAGTACCTTGTTAAAACTTAAAATAGGATTTTACTCTTTTTTTTTTTTTTTTCAAATAATACACACAATATAAACCATTTTAGATTTTGAATTTTTTTTCTTGAAAGACCACATCCATTAATTTTCCATAGATGACTCATACTCTAATCTTATCTCACAATAATTATCGGAGGGCAAAGACATCGGAGATTTGGAACTCATACATTTGACGACATTTGTACCGCTAATTTTAACAGCATTTTGTAAAGCCCAAATTTCATACGCATCAAGTAAATTTCTACCACTTATATATATATATATATATGAAGAGTAAATCTTTACTTAAATGTAACAAATGCATTAATAGATAAATACAGAATTACCTCTTATCATATAATATAAGATTAAAAAAAAAGTGTGTTTCCTTTAGCCATTCAAATGAATAACTAATAATTTTTTCAAATGAAAATGCCATGCTTACATAGGAAATTATAAGCTTATAAATATGACAGGTTATTGTAAAGTTGATTCTTTTAGGGAATAGTATCTATTTATCTTATCGAAAAAAAAATTATTTCAAAATTATATTATTTAAAAAAATTAAAATACTTTATTTTTAAAATATAAATTAAAATGTTTTTTACTTTTTCGTGTAATGTTTTATTGAAATTATATAATTTTTCTCATAATTTTTAAAAAATAAGACAGATAAATATTAATATCTTTTTTAAATATCTTTTAAATTAATATCCTTAAAATATAAAATTAGAGTACATTTATTGCACTTTTTTACTATTAATTTGTATTAAAAATTATGAAAATAAACTTTACTTTCAACACAAACATCATATAAAATGATTTAATTAGACAATCAATAAAATTGAAATTAACTTTTATTTTTTATATAAATTAATAATAAAAAAATAATAAATATATTCTTAATATATGTTTTGAACATAAAAATTAAAAAATTCTTTCTTTTTAATTCAAAACTTGCACATATATCAATTCTTATCAAATCATTTATATCATCATTGTAAAATTAAAACTCTATATAATATTATAAGTGTATCGTTTCGTCTCTCAAATACCCTTATTTAGAGCGTCTACAATAAAAACCCTCTCCCTTTGTTCTTTTCAAATAAGAACAGAAATAGAACTCTACACAGACATCATTGCCTGCGAGGAGCTGCAGCGAGTGGCATAAATGCCCCTGGAGAAAATGGCCAACAGCTCCCTTTCGAAAAAAAAATATAAAAAAAAATTCCTTTTTCAATTCAATTTTCTTTTAGTATATGCAAAATGTGGTGGAATAGAATAAAATAATAATGACATGACTTTTGGAAAACTTTGTTTAGGTATATAATATATATTGGATAGGAATTCAAAAATACTTTTAGGATTTAAAATCCCATTTTTACCGGATTTTTCTTTTCATTTTTTTCGTTAGGCCTTGTTCAATTTTTTTTTTTTTTAAAAATTTTTGAACCAGTTTGAAATGGGGGGTGGGGGATTCAACCCATCCCAAAGGGGTTAGGCAATACACTTATCTGAGGTGGCTAATGCCATTAGGCCGAATTGTTTAGGTGCAAGCCTTATTCAATTTAGTTATTTAAAAGAGTTCATAATTAATTGTTGATATCTAATGATTTATAATATTTAAACCATATTTAACAATAACTATTGATCAATCATTAGATAATAAGTACCAATTATTATTATTTTTATCTTAATTGTATAATAAAAAATAATTATTTTTTATCTTTTATTCTATCTCACCTGCACGCCTTATAATTTGAATTCAAGATATTTTATTTTCAACAGAGTGAAATTACTACTAAATTATTTAGTTTTTTAGCATAATAAATACCAATTATTAATTGTTCCCAAACAACTAAATCAAATGAAACCATAATTTATTTTTTATTTTTAAAATTAATATAAACACAAATTTATCTCACAATACAATATAAAAAAATCTGTTTGTCATCAAACAAATTGATGTAAATCAACTTTATTAATTGAAGTAACCAATTATAATTAATAACACTTAAAATTGCGAGATTCTATTGAAAAAAAAAGACGTGTCAATTGAATTTATTATCAATCTCGTATACTACCTACATTTTTTGGAGTCTTATAATTCAAATAGGTTAAATCTCCTTTTTAGTCCCTTAACTTTAAAGCGTGAAGCCTTTTTGATTCCTCAACTAATTTTGAACCATTTTTGGTACCTAAACTCAAAAAAAGAGTCTTTTTTGTTTCATTCATTAAGGGTACATTTGGTTTAAGGAAAATAGAAAGAAGGGGAATGAAAGGATGTCCTCTCCCCTCATTTGAATAAATAAAAAAAAATAGAAGGAAAAAATAAAGTTATTGTCTCCCACCCCTTCCTTTCCCTCTAATCTTTTTAATAATCTAATAAAGAAAATTTTTTCCCTCCCCTTAAATCTAAGATACCCCAAGTTTTTGCCTACATCCCTCAATTCATACCTTAGAAAAAAGAACAAGTGTAGTATAGTGAAGGAAAAAAGAAAAGAAAAGAGAAAATCCTTAACTAAGTGGTTTGAACATTCAAAACAATGTTGTTGTTTAGATTATAAGACATTTTGTAAGAGTCCCATTCAAATATAAAATTAATATTTATGTATATAAGAAAATTGTCCATTTGCCTTACATCATAAAAATTAGAGGAAAAATAACTCCAAAACTATATCATTTCAATAACTTCTTATTGAAAAAAACTAAAATATCATATTTTAAAAGTATGAATTAGATTGTTTGAAATGACCTAGGCTGAAGCCTACTGCTAGCCTAACAACTTTTTGAGTCAAGTTCCACAAGACCTCAAAAGCTTAAACTTAAATTGTTAGTAATAGTTGATCCCCACACTTATATACCAGATTCGCTCACAATTCCCCACCAAAGTATTTCCCACCAATGTGAGATTAGGATTCAGGGTGTAACAATCAACATGGGCCTACACCTACAAGAGGTAACTAATCAGATACCAACTAAAACAACCCATGCTAAAGCCTACCAGTGCCCTAACAACTCTTCAAGCTAAGGTCCATGAGTCCTTAAAAGCTTAATCTCAAGTTGTTAGTAGTGGTTGGTCTCTACATTTATATACTAGACTCACTCACAATTCCCTACTGATTTGGAATTGGGGGTGTTACATTATTCTTAGTCTTTTGTAGTAGTGCTTTAAGAATGAATGGTTAAGATTTTGTGTAAATGATGTATGTAAGAGTTATGTGTAAATGTATCTTTACTATATATATATATGAGGAAAGATCCATTCACACACGAGTTTTATACACCATACTTACACAAAATCTCAACCATTCATCTCTTCACTTTTAATGATTGAGATTTATCATAACTTTTTAGATGACAAATATAATTATCTTTAATAAATGAAAATAAATCTCAACCATTGAAAGTTATAAGATGAATGGTTAGGATTTTATGTAAGTATGGTGTGTAAAACTTATGTGGTGTGTACAATTTGTGTGTAAATGAATCTTTACTATATATATATATATGACACTAATATAGATACCCTTTGGTTCAATATGCTTCATAGCACATTTATTAAGAAATTATCATTATTTTTTTGTTTGGAATTAAAGATTGAAAAACTTAAAACTACAAATTTTAATAAATAAATTAGTGACTATCAATGGATGCGTTGAACCAGAAGATATACCAAAGAAAATTATTGGTACACCTACCAACACACTCATTAAAAAATTATTTTTTTAATTTAAATTAAAAGTTGGAAAGCTTAAAGTTGTAAATTTTAATGACTTATGTTTTCTTCCTTTAATTTAAATTTGGAAATAATAATTTTTTTAATAATTTTGTTGTACTAAATGATGTACCAATTACTATCTTTTCCCATATATATATATGATAATATCCTTTTAGACACTACTTTTACAAAAAATCATAATCATTCATTTTTAATGATTAATGACGGAGACTTACAATAACTTTTAAGAAGAAAAGACAATTTACTTAAAAAAATGGATAAATATCAATCATTCATATTAGAAAAATTAATTATCAAAATTTTATGTATGAATTATTTGTAAGTTGATCCCACCAACTCTATATATTGGGCGAGTCGTGGACTACAGAAGGTTGGGCTTTAAAAGAAAACTCTCATTAAGAGTACTAGAAAAATATTTTTTTATATAATAATAAATAATAATGAAAAAAAAGAAACTCAAGTTATGTTCAGTGAATTCAAATTGTTGTTATATTCAGATCAAGCTCAGTTGAAACTTGAAACAAAAGGGTGATGAATATAAACTAAAGCTGTAGACATCAATGCAACTAGGAAGCAGAAGCCATAGTTCTAATTGGAGACGCATTTTTTGGATGATAACTTGCAGGACAAGAGACTGCAAGACTTCACAACTAAGCAATTGGGTCATTATAAAAATCTAGTCTTTTTCCTTTCCAGAAAGAAAGTGATGCTTTGCCAATAATGCCAGTGCTATATGTTTAGTCATGATTAGTAATTAGGATGAAAGATTGTGGACTAGAGCAAATTCAGTTGCAAAAGTTAAAGATGGAAAGCAGAAACGAAAGCTTCAAACAGTGCTAGAGGACTTTTTCTTCGCTAGAATATGTATTATATATATATATATATATATATACTTCAATTAATCTCAAAAGGCCATGAGTGAAAAAAACCATAAAATAGTGTTATGAACAAGAGGACAATAACAAAGAAGTAGGAATGCACTTAAAACCCAAAAAATCCAATAAAATTTGGATATCAGATTGGGCAAAACTATTTGGGGCTTTAGTGATGTTCCAATTCTTTTCCCATAAAAGTGCTATGTATATACTGACATAAATGGTGCTGGCTCTGAAAAGATGGGATGTTATGCATTCTGTTGTT